GGAAATTCCTCGACATAATAAAGGGCATCCATACAAAACCAGCAGCCAACATCATTCTTAATGGAGAGAAGCTGAAAACATTCCCCTTTAGAAAAGGAATAAGACAAGGATGTCCTTTATCACCACTCCTATTTAACATTGTGCTAGAAGCCCTAGCTAGAGCAATAAGGCAAGAAAAAGAAATAAAGGGCATCCCAATTGATAATGAAGAAGTAAAACTATCCCTATTTGCAGATGATATATTATACTTAGAAAACCCAAAAGACTCCACGAGAAAACTACTGGAACTAATAGTCAGCAGAGTAGTAGGATACAAGATAAATATACAAAAATCAGTTGGATTCCTATACACCAATAGAGAATGACAAAAAGGGAAATCAGGAAAACAATACCATTTATAATGGCCCCTAAAAAAGTAAAACACTTACGAATAAATTTAACCAGGGATGTAAAAGACCTATACAAAGAAAACTACAAAACACTACTGCAAGAAACCAAAAGAGATCTACATAAATGGAAAAAACATACCATGCTTATGGATAGGTAGACTCAGCATTGTGAAAATGACAATTCTACACAAAGCAATGTACAAATACAGTGCAATCCCAATCCACATACCAACGAAATTCTTTAAAGAGATGGAAAAAACTATCATTAACACTATATGGAAAGTGAAGAGCTCCCGGATAAGTGAAGCATTATTATTTTTTTTTTAATTTTTGTTTTTTAATTGCACTTTAGATAAAGGTTTACAGAATGAACCAGTTTCTCATTAAATAGTACACATTGGTTTTATGACATTGGTTAACAACCCCACAACATGTCAACACTCTCCCTTCTTGACCTTGTGTTCCCTATTACCAGCTTTCCTGTTCCCTCCTGCCTTCTAGTCCTTGTCCCTGGGCTGTTGAGCCCCTTTAGTCTCGTTTTGTTTTATAGGCCTATCTAATCCTTGGCTGTAGAGCGAACTTTGGGAGTGACTTCATTACTGAGCTAAAAGGGTGTCCGGGGGCCATTAAGTAAAGCATTATTGAAGAAGAATAAAGTAGGAGGCCTCATACTACCTAACCTCAGAACCTACTTACTATACAGATACAGTAGTCAAAACAGCCTGGTACTGGTACAATGACACATACACTGACCAATGGAACAGAATCAAGAACCCAGGTGTAAATCCACCACCTACGGTCACCTGATCTTCAACAAGGGCCCAAAATCTATCAAATGGGGAAAAGACAGTCTTTTTAACAAATGGTGCTGGTAAAATTGGGTCTGCAAAAAAATGAAACAGGACCCATACCTCACACCATATACAAAAACTAATTCAAAATGGATCAAAGATCTAAATATAAAGCCAAAAACTATAAAGATCATAGAACAAAAAATAGGATCAACAAAAAACAGACCCTAATATATGGCAGTAATGGGATACAAACCATAACTAACAACATACAAACTCCAG